ATATGAACCATTTCAGCATACAGTTCCTATTCTTTGAGTATAAGGATACTTAGTTCAAGGGGATAGGATTAATGGAGTTAAGAAAACAGAACAAATCCAATAGGCTATCAAGACTACAACAATGATCTAAAAAGAAATTGAAATAACTGTGAAAGTGTATGGGGTCTGGAATAGGTAAGATTTCAAACAGGCGCCGCTTACAGGGGTGAAGGCTAACTTCATATATACCAGTAAAGTAAACTTGTTTGAATTCATATTGAAGTTGAGCTCAGTTAATTCTTTAAGTAGTATGATACCTATAATGCATAAAAGATGAATTACAACAAGGTTTCTGGGATATTTCAGTAGATAGGTGGAAGCATTTCAGTAAAGCAACAGAGTAACTGCAAGGTAACGGGGTTGTTGACACAAAGTAGATCACTAGATTAAAAATATGTAATTAATATAACTGGGCAGGTGAAACAATATAAAACAATCAATATAAGAGGGTTTCAGGAGAACTGCAATCGGTTGCCTGTGAAGCTGTCGCACTACAATGGAACATTAGTTTATATTGGACTCGCTGTGACACATCCTTAGTGACTCACGTATTTGCCTGCTAGTATTAGTAGTCCATGTTTGACCTTGGGCATAGACACAAGATTTGTTTCGTACTGGGATCCGCCTGATGGAAAACCTAATGACGATATCGGACGTAAAACTCGAAAAGTAGAGAGTTGACTGTAACACATGTCGGTTATTAGAAAAAGTGGATAGTGACGGGTTGCAAAGGAGAAAAGAACAGTTAAGAACGAAAAAAAAATAAGGGATCACTGAAATGTTTCGGTAGGGTAACAGAATCACTCCAAGAAGGCAATTATAAAGGAGCTGTAAATAATGTTGGATGCGACCAATCGCCCGAACAGGATAATGGAATAACCGCAAAAAAATAACAAGTTACTAAAACAAGGTAATAGATCGATTTTGCACTACCTCAGATGAGTTGTAGCGGCTATAAATGTGCAAAGGTGTGAAAGTACAAATCTGCAATCGAACTATTGGTTTATGTTAGACAAAGCGTAAGACACATCAGATTCGTTCATGTTAGAACAAACCGATGAAATAACTACAGATGGGCAACGAATTCGGTGAGGCAGGATGATTTCAACGGGATAACTGTTGCTGTGTACTATAGACTGTGTTACCTTGGGTGTAACATCAATAGATATCAGGGTAATTAAACTAATCAATGATAAAATAGACGCGACGCGAAGCCCGCGGGTTTGTTTAGCACTAATATAAGCACGTAATTCGGACCAAATCCGCTCACCAACTAGGTAAACAACTATAGTAAGTAAAACTATTAAACAAAAAATACTTTATCTAACCTAAACTTGCTGTCGCAAGTGGTCGCCCTAATCAAACAACTGCTTTCCATTCTCGCTCAACGAACTATAGCGCAGATTAATGCCCCAAACGAAGCAAAAGTTCGTCTTTTTTCTTCTCCTGGATTTCCTCAAAGTGTCTTTTCTTTTATGCTTACTAAAAATATAGAGCGAACTAGCTAAACGGGTTTACGGTTTTCAAGATCGTACATCTTATCCAATATAAAAGTCATCAAGTAAAGAAGATGGTAGAATGAAGCGAACGGGGAAACACTAAGAATGAGGAATAAAACAGGGAGTGACGGTGGCTGTATAGTAATTGCAATTGTAACAAAGTATGCAAGAGTTGTAACAGTGCATGTTTTTATATTAGATCTTCCTCGTTCTTAGTTAGCTCGTTACTTGCCTCTCTATTGCCTACCCAAACATACATCTCGTTCTCCTCTTCTACCAAGCCGATTGAGTACAGGCTATCCTTCCTCATATCCGCTTACCCGTATTTCTATTCATTACCGTGAAACTGACAAGGAGGCCTTAAAAGAGGACCTCCCGTCGCTTATAAACGAAAAAGGGCCTAGAGTTACAAAGAAGGGCTTCTGTTAGTTCAATATACAGGTATCGTCAGCAGCGTTATGGGGAAAACATTAATAATTCGTTGGTAAGCGGCAATAATGAAACCCTTCTTGTATTCATGGTGGCCACTCGTCGTTTACACAAGCGGGATGTAACAGACAAGTATGAATGGTGCGGTTGGCCGACAAGCGGCCGCAAGAAACTAAACAAATGGACGACTATACTGACCACTATTCAAAAGCTGTATTGCATTTGATCTAGTCGTTCTTATCTTAAAGACGGAAAGAGAAAATACGGGTGGGAAGTAGTTAGGCGTTAAGACGAAGCCACGTCAATTAGGGGCGACAGGCGATGGCATGGAAACAAAAAGGTGGAGCCTATCCGTCTCCCCTGACGAGTACATGTAACCTATATATATATATATATATATATATATATATATATATATATATATATATATATATATAGGGCACCTAACGTAGGACCTTTTGTTATGTTTTATTTCTAATGAACAAAAATAGATATCTCAACTAAACTTTTTATATGTGGTAAAAGTGATGTTCCTGACGGTCATGTTTATTCAATATAACACCCTAACCATTCAAGAGCTAAAATACCATTACTTATTTTTAATATATTATTTTTTGAATAACAGTAACCAACTCCCGAGCGATACTGGTAAGCACAAGCCCGTTGAATTGTTACTTAAGTATGCTATGTACAAAAAATTACGAGGGAATTATATTTTGGACTGAAGCCTCAAAAACGTATGAGTTCAAAACTGCAAGACACATCTGAGATGCAAAAAAATTTATAAGAATTAACCGTTAAAGATTATCTGGCTTCCCAATTGGCAACTGGCAAAACGGCTGTTAATATTTGTAGCAAAAAGCTAAGCATATCAGAAATAATTGTTCTTGACAATTTTCGAGTTGTTTAAGCCTAAACTTTATCCAGAAACTTCTAGTTTGCTTCAGAGTAGTTTTCCCCGGATGCTTCAAAAGCTACACGAAAGGTGGCAATAAATAATACAGACTGTCGATTTTAGGCCAAAATAAAAGTATTTGATCTTCTTGAAGGTTCGTCCTCCGCGCGAAGATGCTTCAAATGATCTGAAATGTGGCTTGTGGATAATTTGAAAAAGTAGATGGGCAGGTCGATGTGAAAAAAAAAGTCGGGACCTTTATTTATACATTTTTACATATTAATATTAATGTGGGGTTACATAATGAACTTGCTGATAATCCTGAGGGTTGGAAAATGTTAGACATCACGTTTCGACTACGATCAAATAGACAACGTCGGCTAACTGTAATGACAACAGGTGCTTTACGGAACTATCCGAATCCTCCATTCCCTTTTCATTGAATTATTCTCAGAGTTGATGTCGACTCATTTCCAAGAAGGTTGGCTGATCAACTTATTCAGTAATTTTGCTATCAAATTGCATTATTTAGTCTTCTGGGGTAGGAAATCGCATCAGTAAATACTACTACCCTTCCGTGTTCGTAAATATGTAATATTGTGCCGTGGTATTATTGGCGGTAGTACTTCTTTGCGAAGATGTTGTTGCATTGTAAACATGATGGTTATCGGTTATAAGCCTAACTACCATTTGGGTCCTAGATGCTTATTTTTGTATTGGAAAATAGCATCTCGTCGAAGGATCTTGTCCGCAACCGCGTCGATCATTTTCAGAAGACCCTTACATGAATAGCTATTGTGATCTAATGTCTAACCTAGTATCCTGTAACCTAATATCTGAATTCAGGGATGTTAATGAGTGTCAACAAATTCACTACTTTGACGATACAATGTTTTTTGAAAATTCAATCACTTTTTTAAGAAACTGGCCTTCCTAAAATTCACTACAGTTCTCATAGTCGTACGATGTTAGTGGAAGCTATACGACCATTTTCAAAATTTTCAACTTTAGTTTGGACAAACGAAATCACTGCCTTTGCAGTAATGCGCATACCGCCGCTGTCTTACGAAACATATTTTCGGAATTTCTCTTGATGTCCTCAGGAGCATGCTCGCCGACGACGAACCTCTGCTGTTCCTGCTAGGACCTTGTTTGTGTGGTTTGGGACATACCGTAGCCTACTTCTATGCTGTTTTGCGTTGAGGCATAGCCGATACGTAATCTGGTACAATTTTTCGTTAGCGTTCTGCAAGCCTCCATTCCGAGCCATACTGCAAGGCATGTGCTCCTGCAAACTGCACTGGGCAAAACGCGGCATCTGTGCATGCGTTTTTCCCAGTGTTGGATTTGCTTTGAATCAACTATACATATGCCAACAATTCTACTGAGTTTTTCAGGCAGTTGCTAGTTTTTAATACATACATGGGCCTTATGGTCTGTCAAAATATTTACAGCCGTAGATTAAAAATTATTTTTATAGCCTTCCATACTTGGCTATGACTACTGGTTATTCTGTTATAGCGCGGCCAGGTATCTCTACACACTACAAAACCTGTAGTTGGTAGGCTTCTGATGGCCAGTTGTTACCGTAAATCACCACGCACTCCTGATTATTGGAACAGAAGATATTTAAATGAATGGGTACATGACTGATCCAACGATAAGGTTTAAATCCAACATTTTTTGTTTGAATATATTTTTAAATCCTTTGGTCGACCTGACAATCTGCGAAATTGGATTGCTACGTATGTACCATACGCGTAATTTTCTTTCATATCGTGAATTTTTTTTATCTAAAAAGGTTGTGCAGTTTCTCCCGTCTACAGGATTTGAATTATCTGTAGTCTCTTTGTAGAAAATAGCCCAAATTGTACGCGTCAACTTACAGTTATAGAAAGCACGATAAGAAATTTAAAGCATATTTTCAACTGAAAAGTATGTTTTAGCTGTGTCGGATAAAAACACGTTGTGTGAATACTTCCTTTGTTTTACTATTACGAATATTTATGCAATTGGTATTTCGTTTGGTTATTACACAATTTAAAAATGCGTATACAACCAGTCTCCAATCTAAAGACTAAGTAGATACCTCCATAATGAACTCTTCCTCAATGTACAGAAAGGAACGAATCGATAGCTGTAGTATTAAGTATATTTATTATTAATAATTTATTATTCATCTTAATCCATTTTGTTTTCTTTGCCATCGTTCTATAATAAAAGACGCATTACTTTATGTCGATGTCGCTGTTGTCCTGTCGTCGTGCTTATTTATTCTACTTAATCTTTGCGTCTTCTCGATGCGGAATCCGCGCTCACTGCCTTCTTAACTTCACCAGCTCGGATATTCTAATGTCAATGACTTATTGATATTACCATTTACTGTAACAACCGGGTACTTCACATATAATATTGTAATTGTTTTAAGCTAACTAAATACGAAGGCTCTATCACACTCCGCTTAGGTTTTATTATCGTATTTCCACAGATCATAATGGTTACCATCATCAGTTTTCACCTCACTTTGTATCGCTCCGGGTCGCTTTGTTTTTAACTTTCGCCCATTGCTCATCGTAGCCACCAGCCTCTAACATTCGTTTGCTGAAACTTTTTGACGAACGTTTTAGAGGTTTTTTTTTCTTCACGCTAATGTCAGTCCGACTCACCCACAAAAAGTGCTCTTTTCCTTTTGAGTCGGATTCTTGTTTTAGAGGAACCATGTTTTTTAGCACCGTCAACAGATTCACACACGGTGCTGTGCCGCCGTATCGAATCGCCGCGGGTATTTATTCAAAGCCATTCGCAAATGACTCGCTATTTTTCAATAGACTTTGTACACCTGAATGGTCAGAAGGATCCTGCAAATTCAGGTGCCCTAGGTTTATGCGCGCCTCGATGTATATCTAGTGTTATTTCCTTGCCGTCCCTCGAGTGTCTGTGTGATAAGTCTTGCCAATTAACTCCCTGTCTACCCCGTTTTGCATAAACGATTCTTAACGAACCATTTACCGGTCACATTTCCAACGCGATTTTATACGATCAACTGTGCCTTATTATCTTGCTTTTAGAAATATAGCTCACAATGGAGAGTTGCTTACGTCTACAGAACAAAGATTTAACGGCAACTCACCATACATCTTTGTCCATTAAAATTGCTTTTAGCCGAACAACTTATCGTCGTGTGCTCACGACAAGGTGTAGGTAAAGTGTCAAGGGTCACACAATTCAAGTCACGCAGTCAAGCTAGCATATGAGCTAGCATATGCTTAGAGATTAATTTCAATTTACAGTCCCGGGCTTTACGAATTAGTTACATTATTGTATTACTAGATTTCCCTAAACAAACTCCTTCTTACTTTTCTAACATAAATTCAACCAACTTCACTTCTTCGTTCCCCGCTACCTTTTCCCGCGCTTGCCATTTTTACCTCGTTATTGCAATGTTGAAATGCAGTTGAAAACGACGCACGTATATGTGTGTGTGTTTTCTTGTGCACCTATTTTTTTGATGACAACAATAATCATCCACTAGAATTATAGTCGTTTATCTAATTGTGGTCTTATTTAATTCAGCCTTTCGCCCATAGTTTTCCTAATGGAATCAGTCCTTGTGCGATACTTTTACATAACCACACGGCTTGTCGCTTTCTTTTTCAATAAGGTTCCGCTTAGTTCTTGCACCCAGAAGTGATTAAGCCTTTTTAGTGTCAGTATTAAAGGTAAACGACAAGCATCTTTGCGTTGTTATCATTACCTTTAATTTTTACTATTTGTTAAGACCGCTTCGTGTTGGTACGCAGTTTCATGGTTGACCCTCTGACATTCCATACTTTATGTTGCTGCTGCTGCTTACTCCTGATATCTCTGCTTTCTAAGTTCTTTACTCGCGTCCTATTCATTGTACAGTGTACTTTAGTTTGTTACTGATCGCTCGTCATTCACTGCTGTGTACATTGTGATCCACGCGGTGCATCATCATCATCCTCATCACACTCATAGGCCTCGCGCCCACGTCCACCGCTTGCGTTACTCGGTATGTAATCGTCGAGTGCAACATCTTCATACTCGTCCGGCAACTCTTCGGCCTGTGGCCGGTCGTTAAGGATCTGTTCAATTTTCTTCAAATCGGCTTCCGGTGCAAAATGCTTCGCTGGAAAGGCGACATCGAACTTGATGTAGAGATTGCCATTACCGAGACCTTGATGAATTGGCATCCCTTCATTCTTTATGCACTTCACTGTTCCTGGATGGACGACGCTGCCTGGCGGGCTTGTCACTAGAAGGCTGCGACCATCCAGTTGTCGCACTATCATTTGGAAACCGCATAGTGCCTCAGTAAGCGAGACGGTCTTCTCCATGTGAAGATCGCAGCCTTGTCGCGTGAACGTCTCGTGCTGTTCGAGGTCCAGTCGAACGATAATGTCGCCAGGAGCAGCATCTGTGCTTTGATCTCCTTCGCCGAAGAAGATAAGCGGTTGTTTGGCATCCTGGCCACGATCGACATATACGTCGATCGTGTGCTTTTGCTTAATAGTCTTCCGGCCTGAAATTCGAAAATAAAGCATGACCGTAATACCACATCAGCTGCTTGTCTTTACATTTATATAGTAGGTTTGTGCATACATAGTGGCCGTTTTTCAAATCGCATCATTTGTCTCTTTTACTTTCATTTTTTTTTCAGTTCATTCATTTCACCATTTGAAAAGAGCCCTGTAATTTCCATAAGCCCCTTGTAATATGAACGGAGTGTGAAAAAACACAGTGAATAAAACCAAGGATAGATATTCCTGGTAAAAAACAATTTTTGACACCTTTAATTCACCTTTTTCCAAATCAAATCTTACCGATGAAGCCCGAGATACATATGTCGTCTACGGTGTAGACCGTTACCTAAGGTAACTTTAAATGCGATATTGAACAATGATATCTTAAAATAAGGATACGCCCCGCCCTCAGGTCGACGCCATAGAAGTTTTAAAAGTTTATATTGTCTAAATGATTCCAGCATCAGGCAATAGGCAATCATCAAGAGAGGTTTCTACGCAGAATTCTTGCGGATGACGATAAGTGATGTCTGTACATTATTATGAAGCGCAGAAAAAATTTGATACATCCGAAAGATAATCCTAAACTGAGTTAAACAAAATTTCCACCCTAGAAAGTCCATAATTCATATCTGGTGGGATTGTTTTACGTACTAGCTGAGAAAAAAATCAAAACGCCCGACAAGGAACCGTACACAGATGTATTGAGTGAATTAGAGTTCCCAACACAAAATACCCGATAGACAAATCTACCTTTCTCTATGGCAATCCAAGACCACACATGGCAAGGATCGTTTAAGTCGCCCTGCAACACGTTAAGTAGAAGGTTCTTCATTCACCATTTTCTCCAGACCTCGCTCCCATAGTTACCACCTTTTCCGATCGCTGGCAAATAAAACTCGCGTCAGTACATTTGACAATCAGTAGAATCCGGAAAACGAACTGCACAAGCTCTTTAACATCGGAAGTGATAATTTCTGGCGAGCAAAGGTTGGTTGAGACATGGAAGGTTGACGAGAATGACTTCGTACAGATAGTTAGCTTATCGCTTGCCATAGTTTAAGTAGAAACCTTTTTTTAATTTAAATCTGAGTAGATCATATCATAGTTTAGTAACATCACGCGTAGCCGAAACATCGTAACTACTGAAATAGCTGACATTAGTGGATTCCTGAGACTTGTTGTTCATTAAATATATATTCAACTAACTGTAAGAATAAAGTCAGGTCAACAGCGACTCACTTACCTCGGCAGTTCTGACAGGCGTTTTTCTCGTTGATCTTCTCTCCCGTACCGTTGCAATCGGAACAACGCGCCTGAATCTGCTGCACTATGTTAGGTCCAAGGGGACGAAACATCACTTTAATACCTTTACCCTTGCAACCTCCACAGCTCTGCACGGCACCCTGGCGGCCACCAGTTCCTTCGCATTTGTTACATATAATTTTCCTTTCCACCTCTTGCTGAAATGTCTTGCCTTGATAAAGGTCTTCTAAAGTGACCTTTTGGGCCAAAATGGTTTCACTGTTCCTGGGTCTGCCGCGGGATCGGCCGAATGGCGCACCGAAAAAGTTTCCAATTCCTCCATTAAAGATATGTTGGAAAATTTCATTACCATCCATGCCTGCCCCCCCGCCGTCCTTAAGACCTGCAAAACCATGCAAGTCAATTGGTCAAAATTCCATTAATTACGGATTAAGTTCCGTAAGATGAAGTGCTATTGGCTATTTGGTTTTAGGGAGTGTGATGCTTAATATATACGCACTTCGGCAATAAACAGCGTTCTCATCTTAGTTCATCAAAACAATATTTTTTTAAAAATAAACTTACCTTGAATGCCATATCTGTCGTAAAGCTGCCTTTTCTCGGGATTCGAAAGAACTTCATAAGCGAAAGAGATCTCTTTGAATTTGTCCCCTGCTTCAGGATTTTTGTCTGGGTGGAATTCCTTAGCCAATTTGCGATACGCCTATATATAAAAACGCCACAAACATGATTATTTTTCGGTTACAGGAGAAGTAAAACAACTTCGTAACTCACCGTTTTTCTTATAAACAAAAATATACAATATTTGCTATATCATTTACTCATTCGAATAAACTTCCGATCCTTCATTTTTCTGCAGACACCGCAAAAGCGTTGACATTTCACGTATTACTCACAGCCATACCACACGCGACGGGAGTGGTGTACCATTTTAAGACCTCGCAAAGTATACTATCATTCCACATAAAGGCGAACAAAATAGGCGTTAACATCGTACAACGTACAACAATGCGTAAGTTTGACATGAACAGAATTATAAGCGTTTTCTAGAGAGTTGTACATTTAAAGAAAACTCATGAGAAAGAGAACAATGCAACCGTAGACGATCAATACATGAAATGCGCCTAACATTCTTGAACTTAAAGCTCCCTGTTCAAGACAGTTGAATCATTTTAGATAAATAAAACCAATGACGGGCAGGACTAAACTGTATATTGCCATTTTGCCGTCTATACCGATTTTGGAATAATCTTACCCGAAACGGATTATATATAATATATATATATATATATATATCGTATAGTACATAATATTAAATCGTAGCTGCAAACTTGTGTTGTTGTGGTTTATTTGGTGTTACCCAATTCGACCCAACGTTAGCCAAATTGGACCGCTTTATCAATAGAGTATTAACGTGCACGAAGGAAAACATTTGCTTGGGTTGCCAGATCAAAACTTTCATTATTATGGGCGACCTTGTAATCGGAAGCGACGGCGACAGCGCTTATACATTCGTGACTTGACGCCCGTGCGGTTCGAGTCTTCTTGAGAAAACCGCCACCAGGCTACTAAAGAACGTTGCTTTTAAGCAGATACAGCGAAGAGACAAATACATGAAATAGTCCTATTGCCTGCACATATGAAATAGTACAAACACATACCCCTGTTATGTAGCAGAATGCGAACTACAATAACTTGAGCAGTATGCCTCTACAAGTATGTTCTTTAGTGCCACGATTATCACTTGCATTTTGATCAACAAGTTTGTTATTTAAACGAAGTGAAGCACTACGAGTGACAAGCAAAATCGTGGCGTTGAGCACCATATAGACCGAAAAGGGAACATTTGAAACTAAACGTCCCTTGAACTATGAAAAAACGAACGAGGATCTTTAGCGAAATACGAAAACTATAAATATAAAAAGTGGGAGTCGATTATATCCAAAAGGCTAAGTTGTTCATTTGGACCTAGGTAGGTTTTATGTCCGGTACTACTGTAAAGCACTGCTTCCAACGACTGGCTCGAGACGACTATGAATTGTGTCTACATCCATTTTCAGACTTAGAACACCACGTTCTGTAAAATCTATAGGCAAACATGTTAGCATACTGCACTACTATGCGGACACACAGTCTAGAGCTATCGATCATGAGACGGCATTCGTTTGCAACTAAAATTCGTATGGGTCTCGGTTTATCTTTTTCATTGGCGTTTACTTCGTTGAGCAAATTGAATTGTTTTTGCTTTTTAGACCCCACGATTTTAATGTAGAGCAAACTGCTCGTCAGCTCAACTAATCTGAGTAGTTAACTAACGTTCTACTTCGCTCAGTGACACCTGATTGCGATAGGACATTGTAAACAGCATAATGTTATGTAATAACGAAGTCCTTTATCAATGTTACTTCATAAACGCCAGGTAGCATCACAAGCTGTTTAAAATTTTGTATCTGACTGAATACGGATATAAACCTACACCGGAGTCAACTGTTCGAGCTAATTGACTAAAATTGTTATGAATTGCGGCAGGGCACTACCCTGTCTACATCCGCAATTTAGATTCAAAACCTTTTCTGTTTGCCGTAACCATAATTTTGCACTCAGACTATTTGCTTCACGACGGGCTTTCAATAAGCAATAAGATAAGCACATAGCCGAAACTCTCAGCGCTAAGTTAAGAACAGCCATTGAATTTCAACATTTGTGTACAGTGAATAAAAAAAAGCTTGGAATTTGTCGGCTGCAGTCGGCCTATATCGATTCGAATTAATGTTGAGTCACTTGGGCACACAGCAAATTGATGTCAACAGCATAGATGCTTGAAATCGTTGCAAAGCCCCGCAAATGCAATGAGCTAAACAGTACATGTGACATGTGTTACTATATTCAACCCAGAAATAAAACCATTACCTGACATTTATTATTAAACGCTCTCCCGATAATGAAAATAGATTGAGCTACGTCGTTTACATCGTGTGCCAGCACGATCAAAATCTGCGGTTTTCGATGGCCGAGGCCTTTATCCCAGGCTCCATTTGCAAACGCCAGAGGTAGTCTCTCAGTCAGGCTAAGCAATTTATCAGCAAAACATTATTTCGCGCATGTTTACTTTAAATATTGTCAATCTGCGAAAATCTCTATTCATTAGTGATTGCCTCCACTGTTTTATAAACGCACACGGATTTTCTGATTCGTTCTCTGAACCCTGTTTTCTCTATTATGCAATATGACGCGTCACATCACATACTGATCTTCATTTCGAATCCTGTATTTTCTAGCTATTCACCAGCGGGCTATTATTCGACCTCTCGATGCTATGAAGACTCAATGAGACGCAAGCAGAGTCGCACATCAAAAATGCATATATACATTCCCGATGTCCATGCACGGAAACATCGGAATTAAAAACCAAAGTCTTTGTAATGGTATCTGAAACTCGATACCTATGCAGGTTATACGAATGACGCACCTTCTTTAGCTCGTGGTCGGACACTCCGCGCTGAACCCCCAACAATTCGTACAAGGTGTTGTCGGCCATAATCTCCTGTGCTGTATATTGTTGTACGAATGTCAGTCCTTCCTTTGGTTGCTCGCTACCTAGTTTTCGCGTCCGCTATCGAGAGGCAAACACAAGATGCCTTCAGCCCTCGCACACGGCACGCGGTCTCCCACTATGAATCAAACTAAACCAACAAATCACCCTTAGACAGTTGAGTGGTAGGCAAACTCCGACTCTAAGCGACAAAATGCGTCCACGATGGCTCGTTCTTTATGTTGGTTAGCGACGGTTAACGAGGCACACAGGCTGCGACGATGGTCGAGTAGTCCCGAGCAAAGAACCGCTCGCAAATGGAAGTGAAAATGATGACTCGCCTGTTTAAAGACTGGCCGGGCGCTCGGTCAGAGCAGCAACACACGGACAGTGATCGGACGCTCGTTGCTCGGCTCCATTAATCGAGCGGACGTTACAACTGAACGCGAAACAAGAGAAAGTAAATACTCAAAATGAAATGAATAGCAGAAGAATTGAGTCATGTATTAGGTCACGTGCATAATTTATACGAGCATAAACAGCGCTGGCAGGGCACACTACTATACAGAAAGATCAGTAGGGTTACTGAATGTGGCTGTATATAGATTTCCTAAAAAGAAATCGTCCGCGCCATTCTCTACTTAAAACTACGGACGATACTGGGTAAACGAGCCGCTACATATACGTTAGCCGTTAGTTGGAACTTGGGAGTAATTCTGTGTTGTGAAAAGGAATACAAAAGAGAGACTGATATTGTCCGTCTCAATAGACATTAGATGTGCAATTAATACGAGGTCTTGGTGTACTAATTTTATCGTGGCGTCCCTGCACGGTCCCCGTGATGGCTATGTGGGTGACGCGTTTGCCTACTGATCTTGAAAACAATTGGTGGTCTGGGTCCAGATCCGAGTGCGGACGCACTTTATTAGCCGTCTGATGGAATGCCTGACAGCGACGCCGGACGTAGTATCTGAAAAACTTAGTCTTAGGCATACCTAAACGAGCATTATTGCAATGTTTACTTGGTATTATACCGATTGTCCATGTGCCTTCGCTTACTGTGCGTATTTATATTTTATAGGATTGCATGGGTTGCACAGCGTACCCATACCCCCGTGTAATGAATGAATGGATTGAACAAAACATTAGATTGTCCGGAGCCATTGAGAGATTTAAAGGATTCGAGATATTTTCAGCTACGCAGCGCAATTTTCAGCGTTATTGGCGGACGAACTAAATATGTACGTCAAACGTTTGGCTATCTGCGATTACAAGCTAACTGAGTGATATCACAATATAATAAGTTTTGAGGCCAAGGTATCGTTTAGGTTTGAAAACAAACGCTCAGTAATTAAGTTTCATTTTAAGAACAAAATTGTGATCTTGAGCACCACAAAGAAAGTGACTACATGTCAGAACTTTAAACAGAACAACGGGTTACTATGATCATGGGACCTTTTAAGCAAAAGATATGCAAGGCAATGCACGTTTTGTAGCAGCTCAATATAGAGTTTCTCAAAGTATGGGTTATAAAATTATGGCAAAAATAATGAAGGCGAGAAAAGGAAACAGAAAATGGATTTCTCGCAAATGATAGGATAGATCGTGTGGATCCCGTGCAGTGTAAGCTAAAGGCAATTTTCCTAATTGTTATTAGCAAAAGTCCACTTATGACACAACGTTGCTATAGAAGAGAAACTTTCGCGATCAAAGCAGCTTGTTCGTTCGTTTAAGATCCCCAAGTCTAGTCACCTCCTCCGCGATCTCCATTTCTCTCGCCACTCCAGTTTTCCACACAATTAATGAACTGTTGTTCTGCTGAATTTTCATCAATAAACTACTAGCGCTTTCACTTTCGTAGGACAGAAACTTAGTTACTGAGTGCTAACTTTCAGCATTAAACTACAATTTGCCCTTACACGTGCTATTCTCCGACGAAACACAGTCAGTTCATAGTCGTAGGCTGCCAAAGAGTCGTGCGTGTTGGTAGATTAATTGTGGTGAAATTCATGAGAACATATTTCGTTCACCATTAAAAACAAATAGAATTCTGCGCATTTTTGACTACATTTAGTTGGGCTTTAACATCGTTAAAGACTCAACTGAAATCCAGATCTTTCAGCCTGGACTGGATTGCGATAAGACCCCATGCAATAATTGGTGAAAGCAAGTTTTGTATTACTTACCTGAGCATCTGTATATATAACGAAACACGAAGTACATCTCGGGTTGATAATATTAAGTAAATAATAGCTTGATTACTGATTCAGTTACTGCTTTTACGCTCCTGGCTAATATTTATGTAACTAATATTGTTTAGATTTTTTAACTTGCTCACATTTCTCATTTTGAACTCGGATTTTTAATGCAGATTTACAGTGACGATGTAGCGTGAGCTAAATGAATTGCACGGCAATCCTTGATTTCATTAAATTATTTTCTATAGCTTCATACAAAACAATTAATTGCACGTTTACAAATCTAGAATGATAGAAAATGAGGTAGAAAATAGTTTCTAATGAACAAGCGACAGAACACCCAGTCATTATTGGCTCAATATCGTCACGTTACAGAACCTTTAAATAAAATCAAGCCACCAAAATGAGTACTAAAAAAGAAAAAAAAAGAAAGATCAGAATCGATCCGATCTATAATTCAATGAAAAAATATATGATACACCAGAAGCTTTCATCAACAGCTTGGAAAGTTTTCATTGAAAGATGAAATGGATACTTCACAGTCCTACAAAAGCGGTTGCAAGAAGCAGGTCTGCATGATATTCAGTTACCTTGATCAACGCAATACACGAACTTCTAGCGCGTAGTAATAGTTTTTTAGATGTCATGCTTTAACTTATCACAAATCCTAACGGAAATTATTAGGCGTCTTCGATGCGCGCGTATCTGTATGTGTATGTAGTATTAGATTGAAAAATGATTGAATAATGTATAGATACTGCGATGTAACCGTAATAAAGAGGAATGTGCAGGACATTTGCGAACCACTGCATCGATGTTTAACAGTTTGACCGCGCTCAAAAAAGGCGGTACGTAGTCTCCGAAGTCGTTTTTTTTTCATACATCAAGGACCCAAGAGGCGAGCTAATGCGCGAAATTAAGGAAATAGGCTAAGGAATAATTATTTGGCCTAGAGGCAAAATATCAGTCGGAATCTATATGAAGTTGTGTTGGCTAGATCTTCTCCGTGGCTGGAAATATCAGGAATTAAATGCCCAAGTGATAAGATATATTTATACAGGGGTGCTAAAAAGCTGAAAAGCCTTAAAGGTTAGATTGCCTATGTATAAGTACTCACGTGCAAGAAATTCAGTAATTTGGTTCAAAAGCTGGCTAACTGTAACTTAAAATTGAAGACGTTAACACTGAAATGAATACATTTATTTTATTTAATCACACCTGTCGTCAAGAAGACGTAATTGGCGCAATTCAAGTTAGCGGATCGTTTGTTTGCATTTCCCCCTATACTTAAATTGTCCTTCTCCTCGATCATAGTTGAGCAATAATCAAGATCACTATTAGACGACCTATGCACGCTAATCTTGTAGTAGTGTTATCTTTTCTGAATATCTTTTATCACAAGTTAAAAATCTCTTTCCGGGGGTGGTCTGTATGCCTCATCTATTTGACTACTTCTAGCTTGATACATTTCTGCTATGGCACCAGGCTTTCCGGCTGCATTAAACGTAACTATGAGGAACACTGCTATCACCTCGATGAAAAATGCACTGGTATTTCTATATATTCAGGCGAGGCAAATTGTCTTATCTGCCTCAATTGTTGTTATTTTATTTACTGCACATAAATGACTGACATTCAGTTTGCATATCAGTCATATACTTGCATGCTTTTCTGCATAAATTGTCGAAAAAGGTACTCTCTGCTTTCCAAAGCGCTGTTGGTTTTTTTTTATTCGTAGAGGGATTTCGTCGACGGCCATCTAGAGCAGGTTCTGTGCTTCATCTCCTTCACGTAAAGTCGCACTCACAGTCTTTTACGATTTTGCTTGTTGTCATTGCGTTCCTGAAACAGTCAATGGTTCAAAGCGAAATAATGAACGTGTTCAAAACAATAAACTATGCACATACTGGGTATTTAATCCATGGGTTCAGTCATCTCTACTTTAAAGCTGCTTACAAATAGTTGAGTCTAGCTTAGAATATCATGCTGAGGGAGCTATAGTATTACGATATCACTGTCATGGCTAGCAGCTAGTAAAGTTCTTGACAGCGATAAAAGAAGATGTATGCGTTGCAATAACAAAACTGTAACATCACATCTCTTCGATTGGGTATATATACAACAACTTTAGCTAGCCTGGAGTGAAAATAAATCTTTCATTTCATATATATAGTAACATTCGTTTTAAATGATGAAAAGAACGCGACTAAGGTTTTTTGTTTGTCACGGATGCACAAATGAACGCCGTCCGCTGAAGGTACTGAAATTATCAGATTTCTTATAACTTATAGCAAAATATCAGTAGTCTCTTCGGGCAGATCTAACCATTTTTATTAGAAATCAAATGATACGAACTGTGTCTTGTGTTGGTTTGAATCTGACCATGCTTAGATATCGTGTTGTATGTATGCATCCGTTCGTGTGTTTCATATACACATGTTGTAAAAGGGGCACATCTTGACCTCACGCAAGTGCAAACTATACTAGTTACTTAAAGAGTAACGCGTGGGAAAAAGTATCGTAAAATAGGAAGTACACTCGGATCGACTTAGATCGAAAATCGGTAAACTCTAGAAACGATTGTTCAGAACAAAGTATTTATAGCGAATCTATCGTCCCCGTGATGACAATGTAGTAATGGTGTTGTCTGGATACGAGGTTGAATCGGTTCTTCTAATTCAGTTCTAAAAGAGAAAAACGTCCTTAAGCTGAAAATGAGCTATAATAAAAACCTATATATATATGACTTCGAGGGGTAAATTCGTATTACGTGCTTATGTGTCACGTATACAAAAATAAAGGATGCTAAATTTCGTATTGTACTTTGTTAGATTAGTTAGGACTAAAATCGGTACCTGATTAAAAATAGAATTGCTGCCGATTTCGTTAATAAATAATGTCAGAGTTCGATAAAAGCCTAAGAACGATGCTATTACGCCCATTAATGTAGCTTAAAAGGATTAATTAAAACTTTGGGTTGCAATTGAACGAATTCGACGAGCTGTAGCAAGCGTCAGATGAAATAGGTTAACGCCATTAATAGTTGTTACTGTCCGGTCGCTGGTTGAGACATTTAGAATGTGTGGCAGATCGACGGATGTGCATACACCTGTTAAAGGTTAAGGTAAAAAATATAATAAAAATAGAAAGTTGCCACGTTTTTTAACTTCTGTAGGCATAACGATCAATTATTTATAAAACTGATTCCAGTCACACTGAATATGTTCAGCTGCGTTTGATCTGTTTCTGTTGCATCAAGATGATGAAATGGCTGTACAAGTAAGACAAATGAATAACGAAAATGTAGCTATATACAGAGTATCAATATAATCAAATTACCAAGAGGAAATATTTTCAATAAGATGTCCTATATTAAATAAGAATTTTAATCGAAAAACGTTGGGACAAGAAAGTGAAATCTGTCCACTACTGGGCCGCAACCGCGAATATATGTATCGTAGTTTGTGTCGATGTAATTCGCGCAAATCGACCAAGCTATGACACAAGTGTACTTAGAGAGGCTAGTACCGATGGGACTAATGAATTAAATTGCACAAAAAGACGGATATGCATTCATAGCTTATCTTTGAAGTAGTTAGAACAATTTCTTTATTTGAACCTGAAATTTGATTTACGTCATCACCGCCATTTACGAGTCCATCATATCTAAACGCGTTTCATTCGAACTAATGATAATTTGTAGTTAAGTCATCTCTATATTTCGAGTTTTACGTCGGATATTGCCGTTCGGCATAATTCCATCAGACGGCCGGTTCCAGATCTAGTCAATGTATGCCAGTCGGCCAGACAAGGCCCACAATACATTATCTGACAGGCAAGCCTGCCTGTCGGATGAAGTCCTAACTAAAACGGACTTTAAATAGATTTATTACATCGTTTATCACTAACTTATCTGTGGTTTAACAGGAGTAAAAACTCAAAAGTATAACCTTTCATACAGCAGTTATAATGAAAATCCGTTTTTACACTACGAAGAATTAACTTCACATTATTTATTTCATGTAAATTGCCATGATGTTCCAATAGCATGACGGCATTCTTACATAAACTTTGTTTCCACAATAGAAGCTACAGCATTTATAACGATAAAGCCAACAACATCTAATAACTCATCATATAATATTATTTTACATATATAATATACATGAATATATTTCGTTTGGAAAATTGCACGAGTCCTCACCCATGATGTGCGTTTGAAATCGCACTTATTTTCACACATTTACTTCATTAAAACTAAAATAACAGTATCTATATTGGACAGAATGGCAGTCCTTGCGTCGTTTCTCCCTTTAAGGCGTACTCTCAATGCTTATTGTTCTTTTTCAGCTTTTCAATTTACATATGTATATTATAATTTGAATGTATTGTTCGTTGAGCTTAAATAAGGTGCTACCATCGGATCTGACTTTTGTACTCTTCGCTAACGGAGTAACGCTTGAGCGTCTCGTAACCGAGAACTAACAGGAACGAGGTAATCGAGCTCTGTACCATGCGGGCCGAGAGGCCAATTGTAAAGATGCGAAACTTTTCCAATCGCCAAACGTGCCGCATTGCGGTCGTCCACGAATTCAGTCTCTGCACCTGAATTCGCGCCCGGATGATATCCAATGGATTTGTAATCACACAGGTTGTCACACCGCTTAACGGCCCGGCTAGACATTGCACAACTACGAGTGGGGTCCAATTTGGTAGAACGGGTAATATCGCCTCCTGGTACATTGGGTAAAATGTCCACCAAAAAGCGCTACCTGGGACATAAGTGACCAGCGAAGCAAAATACCCTCGATAAAAACCAGCGATTCCGTCGTGTCGGTACACCTCTTTAATGATACGTTTCAACGTTTGAAATTTACTTTGAAGGACAGTAGGCGGCAAACCAAGAGGATTGATACTGTTTCGACCTAGGACCATAATGTGCTGCGAGACAACGTCGAACGGCGTGACAAATGTCTGACCTACTAACGAACTAATTCCACCGCCAACGAATCCTTTTAGGGACGAATCCGTTACACCACGCCTCGATAAACAGTCGCGGATTTTTTCGTAAGTGATGATATATCTGAAAATGAATTGTAAAGAAACGAATCAGTTCTTAAGATTTTTAATCTGAAAAAAAATATAATTTCACAATGTTTTGTTGAGATAACCTAGCGTCACAAAACAAAAGATTGTTTCTTGGAAGATGAATCCTTAGTAATAACATGTATAAATACAAATTACAAAAAAAAAAACAAAATCTTATAGATAACAATAAATGTATAATGGCGTACATACGGCATAAAATGATCGAATCAATAACCAACAACAGTGCGTAGATAATAATTGTGTATTGATAAAGATTGGGTAAATTCTTAATTTTAGCAGCCAGATATTATTGGACATGAAATATAAATTCAACGCATACTTAACTTTCCTATAGTGGACATTGGCAGTGGTAATACATATACGTATATAGTAAAAACACTCAGACCTCTTTTTTTATTTGAAACTTACGCCATGCTCGACACGCTGGACATCGAGTTGATCATAAAGCCCTTGTATAGCGTGCGAAAGCCCTCATAGCGCACTATCTGCCGGAGGGCATCACACGTCCCTGTGTAATTGTATGCCGACTGCACCTAAAAGGTTTTACGAAGCATGCAATACTGTTATCTAAAATACAATCACTTCTGGAAATAAAGCCGAAGCCAGACGTGAAGATAGGAGTCAATATAAATTTACTATATACTAGGTTAATAGCTAAGTTTGTAACTGGCTCTGGTAATAGAAAAAAATGCACGCAAACCTTGACGCAAGACGCCTTGAAACGCGGCACCTTAAATGCAAAGTTCAATCCACTATTGTAACTAGTTACAGAAATTCGCATGTAAAACGTGATATTAAAAAATAATAATATAACATATATGATATGACCATATAAAATATGTGATACTGATCCATTCTGCAAACAGAATCTATTCGCTCGTTGCACTGCTATCAAAAAACCACTATGTCAATATGCAATGGAGAGCCCGTTACATGATGTAAAACATTTATCGTCAGAAGCGTAAACTTGTTATTTGGTATCTATTTCATACTGTTGTAATTCATGTACTACTATTACTATATACGCACTAGTCTTGATACAGTCGGTCTGTCTTCGAACATGTAATCAGCTAGAATCTTATCGAAACTTAGTACACCGCACAAATTACCCTGCATATAGATCCTGTACGCACCAAATCTGCCTCTTTACATAATGATTAAATACCCAAGGGAACGACTGCACTAAAATATTTCGCATTTTCCTTACTATGGCCATATTCACCTTAGTTTAAAAAAATATGTAATGATTTTATCGATACTATATATATACGGAATTTAGTAGTGTTTTAAAATCCGGTAAATAAATCGGGCTTGCTAAAAGTCGTCGGATTTTGGTAAATGCATGAAGGCATCGGAAATCAATACAATATTTACTATCTAAGTGCCGCGGTATTAAAAAGTGGGTATTTTTTTATTAAATAGAAAAAAAATTGACTATGTGTCATGATGCTAGCGTAAAAATAACTGTAGCGTATGCATCAAGGGAGTGACGTTTCCATGCAAATAATAGTTGAACCACCTTTCCTTTTCTGCCATAGTGAATACGGGTTACAAGAGCTAAGAATTACCTAAAGGCTGCCTCTGTCTGCAAAATCGTACTTCATTAAAGGAATCAAATATGAAAACTGGCCCTTCCCATCGGAACAAGGAAGAAATATCAGACAGTACCAAGGCACAAATGAAAAAAGCGACGACGCAGCGATGTCGGTCTGGCACCCAAGGGGCGGATAACCGCGAAGGCAAACCTACACCTCATAATTTCCCTAATAATGTCCAAAAGAATCCAAATCCGATAGCTCCACCATGAACTTATCTTTTTTATTTGAGGTGCACCGATGAGGCCAGTGGGCATCGTGAAAATCATGCTCCTCTAGCGAGAAATCATCTCTTGCCTCAAACAAGTAGACTTGACTTTTCTACGTATCAACCTATTGTAATAAAAATTAGTAAAGAATTTTCCACATTGGTTAAGACACATTAAGATTAGTTAAGATAAAGAAGTATTGCTTCTCGATACAGTTTGCTAAAAATAATGCTTACGGTAATAATGATAACCCATTATTACATTTTGTCAATGCTTATGCAAATTCTTACAGGGTTTTGTCTATTGAGAGGAAAATTCATTTAGAAATCAAACAAAAACAAAGCATTGTAATAAACTAATTCCAACATATATAAAGACATAGTAATTCCAGAACCGCTCGACTTTTTAAGAGCTAACGCTTCCTGTATTAAAGTTTAATAACAAAAACAAGGAATGGCAGCGTTATATTGAAAACGGGCGAAACGCAGAACGAGGAAAGACATACGACGATTACGAGAGAAGCATACTTCTTTTTAATACTTGGTTTATGCATAGAAAGATCACGCACATTTTTCATTCAATGTAGGTGTTGCCGTATATGCGTAGCAGAATAAAGAGGACAGTCACGTTATCTTTGGTGCAACCGTCTGAAGGCCTGAAAAAAGCCAAAGGGCAAACGTATAGAAATGTTTCTCGGCAAATAATTTGGACTACTGACTTGATGCATTTAAGGCTCAATGAAAATCACCATTGGTGCAGTATAGACACTGCACAACGATGTTTACGCAAGTGCACTAAATAATTGATGATTCTGAAGATTATTCTTACTTTAGAAAGAGGGAACTGATGTTGAGAGCAGCGAACATGAAAAGCAACTTATTCTTCTCCATATATCATCCACTTCTTCAAAACCGCTGTTTTATGGCAACTTAAAGACCATAAAAGAAACATTGCTGCGCTGACTTACTTCATTTCGTAGAACTATTATATGAATTAATTGAGAGCTACGTGGCAACTAATTCCCCCAAATACTTTTGTACGGAGACCGCCTCAGCTCACAAGTTTTCTAGAAGACCCAAATGGACTCGTGAATATAAGAAAACTTTTGGTACAGGTTAATGTATTTCAATGTTATTTTTCGATAAGTTCCTAGCATTCAAGTGATAATCCTAACGCAAACACTATCCTTTGCAAGAGCAATTAACACGACGTACTCACAAGCAAAATTGCATCTGATTTAACTTCCAAAAAAATCCGCTAACTCCGGCTTTATTTTTGTCGGCTCACATCATGAAGATTGGTACTGAAAAACGTAAGACTATTGTTGACTACCAGAACAATAAGCACTAGACTTTGGGCTGTTACTCTCTAAAGTGAGTAAAGCATCATCCGTTCTACGCGTAAAATGGCCGGTTGCTCACACTGCGTAAGTGCTTAGGTCTTTTAGTACAGTGTCGATTTGACTATTCGGTGGTAACATAGTCAACAATTTACTTAATCACGAAATAAACATTTTTATACGATCGCTTAAAATATTATGCTAATCAACGCGCATATATACGACGCGTCTACGTGACCTACCCAGTCAGTAGTACACATACGTGTATTATAATTGGTTGAATACTAGAGTACCTAGCTATTATGCAATTACCTGTAATCGTGTCTTGACAACAGTAAACGGATATACCAGCGAACGTAACGCGAGTGAATTGATGGTTGTGAAACTGATAAAGCGACTTTTATCCATCATCTCCCACTCGATGGTCAGCAATTCGGGCGCCTCCAGGGGCTCCATGGCCCCCAACTCATAGGTACGAGTCAGGGCTAGCCGGTTAAAAAGTAACTCCTCTTTCTCGATCTGTTTCTGTTGCTTTAATGAAATTCGCAAAACGGCGAGAAACGGTTACCTCATTCGAGGCATATATGCCCTTAAATATGAATCATTCAAGCGGTGCGTGCGTCTTCGCTATGGACTCGCCACTCGAATCTATGCTTTGCGCGTACCGGCGGCACACTCCGGCGAATCTGCGGATTTTGCAACAATTCGGAGGCATCAATGGTTAGTACTCTTCGTCTAATAGTCACCTTGGAATCAATGGGCGCTGACATATTTGTTTACAGTCTGCCCGCAATGAGAGGGCTGATGGGAGAGAGCGACTCGGAAGATAGCCAGTTTAACGAGCGAATTCGCTAAAATATGTAGATCTAAAATCGACCAATACGGAACTGTGCATGCATAGTATGCTCGTTCGTTGTTTTGAAAATGTCGAACGAACATTGAAAAAGCTCGATAGCGAAATACAAAATCGCTCAAAAATAATTTTGAGTTTCAAAATAAGCGCCAAATCTCGGCGCCGGTCGCCATCTTGTTGTAGAGTATTGCAAGTTATCGAGGCTGGTTGGTGTGGTGATGATGTATACAAGTTAAACGAGCTGGAGTTTTTCGACTGTGTGGCAAAGGCACAACGGATTTAAGGTAATTTACGTACAGAATATGCTGTTCAGGTCAAGCGAAACCTAGGGGTATCAATTTGAATCGAGTAAATGGTTATTAAGTCACCGCATGAAGGATGGGCCCAATGTCAATGGTTGACTACTAACCAGGCAAAGCGAGCGCATTAATAGATGGCTGTCCACGCTGGGGTAACCATTTTCTGTTGCTTGGTGCTTCCGTGCGTATATACAAACATTTGGGTACTAGTTATTCTAAAACGTTATGTATCAATGTTCGAAGAGAAGCTTGTTCATTAGTATAGATTTCTATGAGGCGCAATATTCCGGAAGTATTTACACGAGTACGATGAATGCCGTGTTTCTGTTGGGCCCATTATAGTAATAATAATGTCTCTCAGTAGCTTGTAACCGCCGCTCTATCAAGAGAGAAATAAGGCATTAATGGTGTTATCGTTGAGCGCCGTGTACAGATGTCTTGACCTGTGTATTTATCCTAAAAGAGCGAGACGTAGGTTCTGCTAGACTTGATTGTGCTCCTATCTAACGAAAAGGATAGTTGGTCGGGAAGTCTCTTAGTCGCATTAGATGTCGTTCTTAGTGTTAATGTTCGAAGAGTTGGCAACGTAAAACATTGACTTGCGCAGGCTCAAACAGTGATGATATAGACTTACTAATAGGCAGGCCATTTTGCTTTAATATATGGATACTTCATATATGCTGCAAGACCAAGCTTCAATTACTTCTTTGGTTTTGGGAGATAACCTCTTGTTTAGGGTGTTGAACGTGGCATATCGGGTAAGGATATGATATGTGGTGGTTTCATGTTTGGAAAGAGTTCTTAATAAGAAAGGGTTCACTTAAAGTTTGCTACACAGCACGGCCCTGTAAGCTGTACTTTAGACAAACTGTCCTACACCAAAACGTACTTCCTGAGGTGTCCAGTACAGATTCCTATTAGCTAACTGGTCTAAAATTATAGGGAACTTTTTATACTAATTCGCGTCAGAGGATCAGATTTAATATATTTTGAATGTCGGGTGCCTAAATGAATGTTTGTGGAACGTCTACCAAATCGCAGCAGTAGCTTACTTAAGCAAAGGCGTTAGAATACTGTTCAGAGCTGTCGACGAATTAATGTGATCTGATTTGATGAATGTATCCATATGTGACGGTTCTTCCATTAGAGAATGATTTTAATATCATCGTAAAGTTAATCTACTTTGATTTGAATTCGATATATTTGAATATTTTTAATGAAAATTTGTTAACATAAGCTATTTCTTATTTTTTTTGGTTATCGCTAACCTAACTTTTGTATTCCTACAGTCTTAGCATGCTACTTTTTGGACTGTGTTTCTTTTTGTAGGTTTTAGATGGGGCGTGCAAATGATTGCCGACTTTACGTCGGTCGCCTGTCACATCGAACTCGTGAACGTGATTTGGATAGGTTGTTTGCTCCATTCGGGAAGATACGCGAGATCCTACTCAAGGCCGGCTTCGCCTTTGTGGCAAGTAGCAAGATCGGATTATTTACCTTAGATTTATTAAGACACATAGGAATAAACAAATATTTGACTATTTTTAGTTCTCTATTACCTGTAATATTATGAGCATACTAAGTGTGATGCATTCCTGCCATTCAGTACAAATCCAAATCTTTGTCAGAGAACTTTTGCTGTAGAGAAGTTGTATTTCTTTTGTGAAATATATACGATATGCAAAATTCGAACCATCAACGGCAATACGAGTCGTAGAGTCAGCTTTCATGTAGCTAAGCCCAGGTTCCTCATAAAATGATGACAATACAGCTTTTTTATTGAGTGGTTGATAACGCGACACATTGGCGTATGCCAGCGACGTGCATGAATCTGTTTCTTCCATTTCTTCACCGCCCGTACAACTGCCAAATGTGACTAGTAGTAGCTATTCAAGTTTCTCGCTTGTATTTTACTCACAATCAGAACTTGAAGTTGAAATTTATCTTCGTCTTATCCGGCCGCATAATTCGGTGTTTTAAAAATTACTTTAAAGCTTTACGTTCAATTACGTTGAATGTATTTGTTCGAAATACCTCTTATTACATTTGGAGGTAATCCTACAACGGAACATATATTACATAGTTACTGAAGCATACACTTGTTGAAAATGCAAGTTTAAAAAAATAAAATATTTGCAACCGCACATAATTCTTTTACGAACTTATCATTATAAAATGTATTGTGCAACAACAAAGTTGTCCAATACATTTGTAACAACTATTTGATATCAATAACTAGGATTCATATATATACAACGATATAACAAAGCGCACTGATTAGGTAATTCTGAATAATATTTGAATGAGTTGTTATTCATTAAGTTTGTTCATATTTTCCTATAATGGCCGTATTTGCGTTGTAACAGATTTTAAAGTTACGGTTAAGTACCACTGGCTGGTTTTTATTAGTTTTTTTTTTTATTATAATGTGCTTGATATGTAGGAGTTTGATGACCCACGGGATGCCGAAGATGCTTGCTATGAACTTAACGGCAGAGACCTTTTGGGAGACCGGATTCTTGTTGAAATGGCTAAAGGAACTGAGAGAGGTCGAGGAGGTCTGCCGATGCGCGGCGACACTTCTTCACGGGGTTTGTATCAGAAGTGCAACCATCTATTTGCTGGATGTTATATCTATTGTTCAATACAGCTTTATTTGTAAAGACTGTTTGGAGCGGTTAATATTATAATTTTATTGGAAGTCCGTTACAAGTGTGGAGTTAATGTCTTACGCTCATACTAGGACAACTAAAATGCAATTTAAATCTTTTTTGAGTTTTCCTCCTGGTTTTTATTTCAATCATCTTTAGAGCGAAATGTTTTTTGTTGCAATTGCTATATAGCTATCGTCTTAAACGTTGCAGATAGAAGCTGGATGGATAAGTATGGTCCCTTTAAACGAACGGATTATCGCGTGATCGTTGAAAACTTATCGACTCGGGTTAGCTGGCAGGTATGTTGAAGATTACCATAAACAGCTTTACGAAAAAAAAAATTAGATTTTGGCTCAAGGATTAACAAAGTACATCAATAAAATAGTATATAAATTATATTAGGCATAAAAACTGCAACAAAAAAGCCGCGATTCTTTCAACAGGCTTCCGAAACAACAGAAGTGGCGTTCTTTGTGGTAGCTGAATTGTAAGATCGAAGTATTATATACTGCTAAAGAATACCTCCTTATTTGCAGCATTGGCCAGATGAAGCACGAAATACAGTAACTATAAAACGATTGTCATGCAATTTCTCAGAGTCTTTGTTGACTTGTCGCGGTTGAATGAGTGCGAATAAATTTCCTGACATAATAGGTATCCACCAGGGTGAAAGTTCTAGTGATGATTTCGTTACACCGTGGCAAAAGGATGTGAACCAGTACAGAGCCAGGGGCTTCCTGGCTTGCTTGGTTGTTGCACAATAGACGGTACTTCGTGCAAATGACGATTCTCCGCCTGATGAAACCTAAAGTGGCTTACGCACTTCCACTAACCGTGGACGAGAACAACCGTATGCCCTGACAGGAACGTATTTTGAATTGTAGCGCTTTAATGTTCTTTGCTAAACAATGTGTTGATACTTTCAGGTCTTATCAGATACTTATAGTATAAGAATGTCCCTCATATTATTTAGTCTTTATTTGTTAACTGGATGATTGAGATATAAAAACCATGTGTTGCTTACCTCGAGCTGTCTAAATAATGTCTGTGGCTTGTTTGAGCTATAGTATAGTATTATAAGTGGTTGTTCCAGATCTTTCCAAACCCTCCTGGTATTGTGCGTATTTGCATGCTGGTTGGAAAGGCCATAAATCCGTACATTACACGCACATTCTTGGTTTTGTTTGTTGATCAAAAGCGACGGTGCAGTGGGTTAGACAAGATTTTCATGATTATCAGAATTACGCATTGTGAGTGAGGCAGTGAATGGCCGTTAGGCCATTGGACTCACAAAATTATATTTATTGAATGGCGATTATTGTTATCCAATTCTCCGCCTCTTCTGTGATCCAGTGAATCAGAAATTTGTGGCAACAAATGATCGATTTGGTCGAGCCTTTTAAAACATGTTATATAAGAAGGCTTAGATAGAATATTAACACAAAGTGCTATATTTTTAAGCAAAGAAGCTACTTGATCAAGAAATTTTAGGGAAACGCGTGCCATTCGATAAAAAGCTGCGAACCTGGTTATAGTAAATCGCGCTTTGACATTATTTAGTGCTGGGGTGTGCAAGTCCAACGACGTTATTTACTGACCATAGGTTTTTTTGAAGTTTTACTGAATAGAGAGAAATAGGGTTTCCCGTTTGTATTGATACACACTTAAGCATATATATGCGAGAAATGAAGGCGCTACATAAACAAAAATATTTGTCGTTGATACCAACCTTCGGTCTAGCCGTTTAATTCTCTTGTTTTCATTCTGTTAGGCCTCAAGCTGACATACATAATATCGCGACTCAGATAATATGGCTTTATGTACTATCGTTATGAAAGCAGCCTATTCTTTGTGAGTCCGAAGAAGAAGAAGAAGAAGAAGAAGAAAACTCTCGAAATCAAAATGACGCTAAAGTTCAATATATGAGAATTGCTCAAAGGTCCGTTGTATTCTTTTCCGAAGTTAAAACTTAGAATAAAATGACTCGTTTCACACAGCTCCGGCCGCATCAGTCTCATCTTCCTCTAATTGCGCACAAACATGGACTAAGCGCACACATGAAGACACAGAACGAACGTTGACATGAAACGAATGAATGAGTAAATTAGGGGATAACCTATTTGTACATTTTATTCGATCGTCACATATTTTTATTTGAAGGCCATCAATCTGGCTTTTGGACTTCATGTATTATTGCCGCAAAGTTATTATTGCTCACTCTCTCATTTGCTGCTGCTGCTTAACACGCTGTCGTTAACACATTGTTGCTCTGTTTGTTGCGTGGACGTTCCTGCTCCCCGATGTCTCGGTCCCTCGTTCGCTCGCTGCAGCATCCCGTCGCTTGATTGATGTCAAACCTCGGATCAGAGCGAGGTGATCGATTGATTTGTCCATCCACGGATCGATTAGATAATCAATCAGATCCTGATCGATAGCGAGACGACATTCATTACGACGATGATCGATGGTTGCGATGCTCGTTTGTAACAGAGATGATGCTGGTGATGACCATCGATGATGATCGCTCGCTGACGATGATGATAACGGTGGCACATCATCACTGACAGCAGGGCCGTGCCGGCAGCAGCAGTAGCGGTCGATATTGAATCGATATTGAATAACCCAACCCAGAGACGCCCATTAGCACAAGCCACATGTTCATAGGCGGTCCGTCCATCCCGAGCGACGCCGAGGCTGTGAATCCCTTCCACCTTCTGCTCATCATCGCAACCTCACTCCTCTGTGGCTTTTGTCTGCCTATTTCTATTATTCTCTTTGGTTACATTATCTAGAAAAACAACATTGTAGGAAACACGTAAGATGTGCGCTACCACTACCCGATCTGCCGCAACTGAGATTCGTACAGATGTTTCAAGATGACGATTACGTCGATGACGGTTAGCGAGGCACAGGTAAATGCGACGAAAAAGGCAAACGAGGGCAGCTCAAGGAGCGGCGATCCCCATCAGCCAGCGACCACCCTCAATTGTGGGAAACAAACACGACAGTTGATGAGCAGTGATGATTCTCTGTCAGGCCAGGTCAACCACGCCGTTTTCCGTTTCACCAATGTCGTTAATAAACCCTCAATCAAGGATTCAGTGACGATGGAGGTGAGGCTGAAAACCTCAGTCGGCCTATGCATGCTCAGATGAGAACCGTAGTGATGTGCTAACCGTGTGGAGGTACATGCGAATGTGGGAGCTTGATACTGTTCTCTTCGCGGGGATTCGTTCGCGACCGTGTATGTGCTACACAACGTTTGAGCTGGAACATGCACAAGGCTGTCTTCACCACACGTTGCAAGGCTCAGCTGTACCGTCGTATAGAGTGCGGGGCAAGGTAACCAGCCATAGAACGAAGAGAGCGACAGAGGTATACGTGTAGAGAGGCAGGAAAAGAGAGGTGAAGAACCACAACGGACCGACAATAGGGCACTAATATGGATAAGGATTATCTATCAATTGGGCAGGTAGGGGGAGGCATAGTTAGTAACATACGATGTACTAAACGATCTAACTTTATGATACTAACAAACAATGCAGGACCTGAAGGATTTGATGCGTAAGGTTGGATGCGAGGTGTGCTATGCCGATGCTCATCACTACCGGAAAAATGAAGCGTACGTAAAATCTCACATTTTGTAATTAAATACGGATAATAGCCAAGATATTTCTATAAATCGAATAGGAGTACGGTACCACAGAGATTGATTGAAATAGTCCACTGTTAAGACAGACTTGTAGAAAGCATAGTTCGTCATTTCTGCTCGACATAGTGTAATCAATAAGGATAAGCAACGAAGAAGTGCTAAACATGTTTTCAGGCTAACAGTAATATTACTTCAATTTCTTTAGCGTGGTTGAATTTGCATCGCGTTCCGATATGAGACGTGCTATTGAGAAATACGATGGACACGAGATTAACGGCCGTCGCATGGCCCTGAGAGAGGACCGCAGAACAGAGTCTCTTTCAAGATCTAGATCTAGATCACGTCAAAGGAAGGGCAGTACGTCTAGAAGGAGAAGTGCATCTAGGTAAGAAACAATATTTTTTTTATTTTGGATATGGTAGCTTCAGTGAATGCGTAACTATAGATAAGTCACGGGAAATACTAGGGTGTTGCTTTCTTTAGTTTTGCTGATGTCGTTTTGAAATTATTTTATTAGTGAGGTGAGCGTCAAGTAGTGTACGTAGATTAGAAATCAAACACCTTCGCCTCGAATTCAGTTAGCGAGCTGACAGAAAGCTTAAAAATAGAGGTTCCATTTTTGACACTTCAGTCTACTGAATCGTGGCTGATACTGTCACAAGCCTTGGCGTGTTTCATCAACTGACCTATTTTGTCAAGACACTTGATGAAGTTACTCACTCCAATAGTGGCAAGTACGCGATTGATTGCAATTCATCACTGTAAAACTTTCATGTATTTTATATAAATTTTATTTCTTCTTTCAGAGGCCGCAACCGTAAATCCCGCTCGAGGTCTCGCTCCCGTTTGAAGGGCTCTCCGCATAAATCTCGCCAATCGCGATCACCAGAAACTAAGCGGCGTCGCACAAGCAAGTCGCGATCTAGATCCCGATCCAGGTCGAGCTCAAAGCCAAGGTCGCAGAAGAATGGAGGTGGACGTTCCAATGGACAAAACAGAGATCCGTCCAAGGAACGCAGCAGAAGTCATTCTCCAGCTGATTCAAAGGTGGCGGACTCTCGCGGCCGCGAAAGATCTCCGAGTCGCAAACTGAAGGATGCGAGAGACGGATCGGCGTCGAGGTCACGATCGAGATCTAAGTCGAGGTCAAGGTCAAGGTTAAGGGCAAGGGGTGATTCTGCTCACCGAAGTCCCGCGAAACGAAGCCGCTCTAGAGAAAGAAGTCTATCAAAAGAACGAAGTAGCTCAAGGGGACGCAGTTCATCACGTGAACATAGCGCTTCTCGATCCCGGACGGGATCTAGAGAGCGAAGTGCCTCACGTGAGCGGAGTGTGAGTCGAGGTCGTAGCGCCGGAAGCCGCGATCGCAACGGTGACTAACGACAGTGTATTACTGAAACGACTTGGTCCAACTTAGCTGTATTGCCGCGGTTAGATCTATCATCGAGAAAAACAATGAAAACAAACGCGAGAAGGGGTGAAGTTCTTATACGAGAGAAGTAGAAGATGCCTTGTTTAAGTGTTAAGTGGTGAAGGCGACTGATTCGTGACTTGAAAATGACGTACGTAATGGTAACACAAGATCCATGTTAGGCAACAGCAACAGTATACGATGGCTTCTGCCGGCACTTAAAAAGCAAAAGGGCATCGACTGGCTAACTCAAGTAGTACGTAAAACAAGAAAAAGCGGCGAGTGTTTAGAAATATGTTACATATTCTCTGTATAAAAAGAACGAATGGCTACAGAGCTTGAGAACACACAGAATATCGTAAATAGCTCTGGATGCTTGTCCCCCTTCCAAAAAACTCCATGTATGCTTCTCGTTCGTGTATCCTCTTATTATTATTATAACATTATTATTAATATTCACATACTTGCTGCATTGTCTGAAATATAGCAATTGTCCTGACTAGCCCAACCTAGCGATCGGTAATCCGGAGTCCATCCCTTGTGAAATATTGGATAGCATCCTCGCATGATAATAGTTTAATTAAAATGTAAAGTGTGAACATAACAGGTAAATTAGAATTGTAACGCTTCGTCAAACATAAATAAACTTAAGCATACACTTATATAACTATCATTATGCGATTCCACACAGCCGGCTATATATATTTTGATTAAGAACATCGGTACATTTGGGTCGATATTGCTGGCAATAGATTTTAGGCGCCCTGGGGTGCGCCTCCCTGAATTTGTTGTGAATTAATCGAAAGTATAATTGTACTCAGAGTGACATCCATAGAGTCACCACCTATGACTATGATACAATAATGATGATGGCGCATAATAACAGACTCGTGAAATCAGCAATCAAAATCGAATGGAAATGCTTCATGTGAATACTTTATTATACAACAGCACGTGAATAAATCGATAACTCTAATTGGCTAATCTAGGCGATGATGCCAGATAAGCGCCGCATGTACTGAGCTCAACTAATCAGAAGAATTTAAGCACTTCAAATTTGGATTGATGTCTCACTCCACCTTATCTATATTTCTAATGGTTCCCATTTGTGGGGTTCAGTGCGAAACGATAACAAAAATGATCTCGATGGTAATAACAAATGCGATAAATTGAAGCAAAGATTATTGCTTCGAATTACGTTTCATTGATTGATTTCTCTATATAAGACTAACCAGGAACACAATATAGATAATCACAACGATCTTGCCTGATTAATAATAAAAATAAATTATGCAGTTTAATAACGAACTTGCTGATGATTTGATGAAACGAATGATTAGTCGTCGGTTTAACACGTGCGCAAGGAAAAGACACTCATTCAGCCTTGGTACCATGTATGCGTAGAATAAGTTCTACCAATAATATATTAGTACGATTAGTAATAGTATTTCATGAGGTTGGTTCCTTGTTCACGCATCGAAACACATCCTATTAAAAGCGGCTTTGCCGTATTTCGATGTTGTAAGATAACATTTACATTAAAACTGTGTACCCAGAGGGAAGACGCTGGCTGCCAACCTGTATTAAGATAGCGCGCCAATAAATAAACTGACTGATTGCATATTTCTTTACGTTACACGTTTCATAATTGCTATAATTAGATAAAAGCAAGATCTTACGAAATCTCCAGGTTGAGAAAGTGCCCATATCGGTATATATGTTTGCTGTTGATAAGATCAGGCGCTTTATGTAGCACGTGTGAAGTTTCCTTTCTTGATGAGATTTTTCTTTTTTGGAACCAGGAACGCACTTGTATGCACACACAGGTGATTCAGCAGCTTTTGGATTTCCGCTGCGCAGTATAATTATAGAGAAGAGGGAGCTCATTGAATAAAAAAGCGAGCTTCCTTACTGATTTGTTACATTTATTATGGGAATTTCTTGAGTTCCGTCGCTGCTTTCATTACTACTTCTAAGACCATGTCTTGCCGACATAAAAATGTTCAAGTCAAACAATGGTTTCTCATATATGAGTTCATACATTACAGTTCGTAGAATACGGAGGTTTAACGAATTTCTATCTGAAGCAGCATTTCTTTTGTTAAGAGGCATATATCTACAGAAAATGGAAACGCTACTCAACGTTGATCAACGCAGGCTAGAGTCATCTAAGAAAACTAGTGGAAAGTGTCGACTGAACTGCCAAGTAATGCCGAAATTCAAACGATGCATATGTGTAGGCTATTTCTGGCGAAATAACAGCACCAGAACAGCACAACAGAAGTGTATTGTGTTTCGATTTAATGGCATCAAAAATCTGGTATTTATTTTTTACATGAGACCACCCCTTTCGTGAACTGTTCCCTTTATCGCATTCTACTTCCCTATTTTAAAATAATAGTAATTATTCGTTTTTTGTTTGCGAGCCAAACATTATCTCCTGTGTCTTTGTTGTCTTATTTTTATTCCTTTCACAATGCGTGACTAAGCACGTGGCGGTAGCGCAGCTATGCAGTGCTTTGCTATACATATATATACATATATGACGTGGTGTAAAGTGAATGACCGAATCTACCCTTAATATGGAGTGTCGGTGTTATTTCTATTAGATTTATGCATATAATGCTTTTGTTTTAGTCTCACGCTTTGGTTATCAGCGGAGAAAGCGTATTACGACTGGCACAGTTCGTACATTTAACGATAAAGCTAACAAGCGCCTTAGTATTAATAACATTTCATGAAATTACTCCCCCGACAGTTGGCGTGACAGTGAAAGGTTCGATTTAATTATAGTAAATCGTCACCTTGCAAGGCTTGCCTTCTGATAGTTGTTTAAGACAATCAGATATTAGAATCTGAAGTTAGAAAAGTCTCAAATACTTACTCAGCTTACTTTTATTTCGGTAATATTTTTTTCTGATTCATGTTTCGCAGTCGCCCGTAAGTCACTTTTTGTTTTCCTTAAATCACTTAAGTATGGATGTAAGTTTAAACTGATTATGGTAAATTTGAAATCGATAACGTTTTCGGTTCTCCAAAATTCACCGCCATAAATATTTAGTGTTATTATTACGACTTATTGATGGTGAATCTGAACATGGCCCTGTAGTGCAACAATGACCTTGTGTAATTAATTAAAAAAATTACTATTTTTCGGGTATACCATTAAAACGCTGTTCCTCAAAAGTAGATGCAGGTCATTCATGAAAAAACAGCCCAATATCTACAAAAATTTTTAGACACGTGAAACACTTAATTTTGCGTGTAATGTCAAGGTGACGTATGTCTGGTATTGGAAAAAAAACTGTATAATATAGTTTGCACAAATACGGTGCGGATGATTAAGTTAATTCGGAAACACTTGTATAAAAAAAAACAGGCGACTAGTTTTAGAACACTATCTACAGTAGCTCATTCCTCGTGAACGTACGCCGAACAAACCGACAGCTAGAATCATTCAGTAACCTCTACAAATATTAAATAACACAATAAAGCCTAAAATATTATTACTGCAGACTGTTATTGCAAGATTTACGTTGTATCTCGTACTAATGTTCACAGCTCTTTTCACTCCTTTTTAATATTTACTCGTCTACTATTTCATAGAAGCTTCATCACTTGTAACTATCTATCCGTTATTTGTTTTCTTGGCTTCCAGCAAATTATTTCATTATTATATTATCAAAGCCATAGGTGCCTCTGTGTGTGCTAAGCTCGATGGTGTACGGCTGCCGTGAATCCGGCTACATTATCACGTATAGCAAGGCGCTGCTACGTGGGCGTGTACATTTTTGTATTTTTGTCTGTATTTACTAAGAAGCGCATCGTCGGTGCTGCTGACGCGATTGTTGTTAACGGCAGTTCTATTGCGTCGGATGGACTGAATCTTCACTTTCTCCGATGGTCGTTGCAAGTTCGATAGCCGGCAAATATGTACACCATAATACCATGTGTTCGGCCTTCAAAAATCACGGGCCAAAGAGCTAACGGAAGCTTAGGAAAAAACCTGACAGTCGGCGGTGGTTGAAGTTCGTTGCTAGAGAACGCGCTGCTGTTGCTGTCGCCATAATATGTTGTATTGCATATATACGACTGTGTCATTTTCGTTACTTCGATGCTTGCGAATTATCGTCTTCACAATTCTTTTGTATTAGTCGCTATCCGTTCGCTAGCAGGTTTTCGTAGTGCTCTTACCGCGTGTTTCATCGACAGCGTTACCGAAAGAAAATTGTTCTCTTTTGAAACCTCCCGATGACGACTGGTTTGACAGCCTCGCTTCAACTTCCTGGCCTCGCTTGCAGCCCGCTTAATGGTCGCTTCCGATTCTTGATGATTGATGATCTTCCAGCGCACGTTCTTATACCAAAACAGAGCAGATAGGGTCATATGTACACGGTGGTTATTATCATTTCCGTTCAATAGGTGTTTTGTTATTTAATTGCAGTACTCAGCTAAGCCGTTTGAATTACTATATACTCAGAGGTTCTGCTATTCTATCGGTTTTACTTTAAGTTATATGTATAAGAGCGGTGGGTTACAGCAGCCATAGTCGTATGCAGTTACATAAGCACATCTTTCTTTATTAATATATCAGCGCACAATGTTTTACAAAATGCCACCGACGATTCCGAGAAAAGTGAACGTTCGTTTAGCGGCCCTGAATAAAATTGAATTTGTCATGAAGTTCGATGCCTCCTACAGTTGCCAGTCTCCGAAAAAGTAGATCTTCTCTGAGGAAACTCTGCTGGCCGTGGTCAGGATGTTTGTCAAGGATGGTTTCACACACTTTCGCCGGTTGTCGCATTGCTGCTAATTTTGTATCCTTGTGTTTAGCCATGCCTAACTAATAACTGGATGTCGCATAATTTGCCGTTACAAAGCGAAAGCGTTCGCTGATTCCGACAGGTTGGACAATGTCAATAAATTCACATATTACCATTACTATCAGATTTTCTATATATGGTTATTTCGCAGACCATAATCTGATTTACATTGCCTGTTCTCCTTGGTTATCTGTTAAATATTATAATCTTTTGTCTTATACCGCGTGCATGCGAGTTGGAGCTGCTTGAGAGAAAGGCATTATATGATAACACTGTCCATTGATGGTGCGACGAAAGCACAATCACAGTTTATAGTGTACACAAAAGAGATTGAAGTCACGCAGCGAACTGCGAAGAGTCACCTAGATCTTAACAAGTAGATGGCGGTATCTTACTGCAAACGCGGCGAAGTACTTAGAATATTTCATCTCGCCATGATGGTTTCATGCCAAATGCGTGATACTATTCAATGTACCACAATATTTCGTATATTGGAATAGAAATTATGACAAGACAGATTAGCGTTTTGCTGCGCAAAGTTAACCAAGACTTTGTCATATATTCTTGTAATAAACGGTCCTATTGCAGTGTTTGGGTATAAATTGACTTAATCAACAATAATTAAAAAAGGTACTTTGTACAGATCATGCGTGAATTTTCAAAAGTTAAGGTTACTCACCGAAAAGAAGCGACCACATCACCACAGTCTAAAATTGGTTGTGAATTGCTTTACGTTTTAATATAAAGAGCCTCGTGTGATTCAAAATCTTTTTGATCCCTTAGGAAAATCACGTGTGCATGTATGAATTTGTATTTACTTTCCTGTAGATAAATTTACTGCATATAATCCAAGTTATCGCTTAAATAATCCATGTATTAATTAAAAATTTAAATGTATGGCAATTCAAATATTCGCCCTCCTTTATCTAAATGATCAAACCTGTAAAGAGAAGCCCGTGCATGATAGCGTGGGTGTTGAGTAATGGATCACTTCCTTTTTCGAAGGGGCGTTTGTACATCAATCGACAACACGGACGCTTGAGTGGAGGCCGAATAATACAACTTTGGCATCTCCATGGCAGTTTCGGTATTTCCTACTTGCTCCAGGTTTGACGACGTAAACGAAGCTCTATGAACATGTGATTCGAGCAGCCAACCCCCGGCAGTAGATCTCAGAAAAATAAGGAAGTCAGTGTAGCTAAAAGGAGTGACTCAACTGATGGTACTTAATTAGGGATTAGGGGTGTATGAGTGTGAACGTCGTGTACCATTTGCACCAAGCTGACACCCCTTATTCCGAGCAATTCAGACGGAGCTGACGAGTGCACAAGCATTCTATTGCACACTTCTATTCATCAGCAAGACCTAATAAATATGCATGTACGTGCTGCTCCGTCGGAAAATTGATCAGACGGCGACGATTACCTTGCTTCAGCCACCCGTCTATGTAGCTCAGCAGCGCGTCCAAACATCTTAAAATCGACAAAAGTTATATACTCTTGTTGGATGCTTTGACGTGCATCCCCCTTATTGAGTTGAAGCTTTTAGGTACTCACGTTTGTTAATTGTTGTGTGAGGAACACTGTAAGAGACCATTTAAGCCTAGTGTTGATCTTATTTTTTTGGTTTTTACTAATACTAAAGCGAAAGGCGATGGTACCTAAAGTACTTTATTCAGCTTGTTTTGAAAAGCAATTGGCTTTGTAGTTTTTTAAAAAAGCATTTGTTTCTATTATGCATCATTTTTATATCGGCCTACTTAGAAAGCAGCTTCTGTTCTAAATTCTTTCCCTTTAAACGTTTTTGGT